CTCCAAGTTCGTGACGTACAACTACTTAAATTGTGTAATCCACCCCCGCCTCAAAATTATCGAGTTAAAAAAAATCACAAACATTACAAATTTACAAATTACACCCAGTATATAATGTCCAATCACAGTTTGCATACTGTCTTTTTAGAAATTACAGTTTACCTACCAGGACTAACAGTCAACTTTAAAGGAAATTACAACATTCCTAAAGTGCCCTACTATTTAAATATTACATATTATTAATAGTTATTCTTCCTCTCCTCAATCTATCTTTACTGTCAATTTGGAGAATCTATTTTGATAACCATGGGTGTTCGGACCAACTTGCGCGTACCTCGACTAAGGGATATACCACTAAATGACCCAAATTCAAAGCCAAAATTCCAAACTAACCCCAAACTAACCCATATCACTATTCAAATATATAAACTACCTAAAATACCNGAAATGGTACACACCAATTCAATGAGACACTTCAATCTCTATAAATAGAGACCTTCAAATTCGTTTTTGTACACCAAATCAATTAATATATTCTTGAGTTTTAAATTCGTTCTCTCTCCATATTCTGCAAATATTCCTTCACTATTTTTGTTGTTATTCCGTTCGAGTACGTTCATTCTTTGGTTCGACTGACAAGGTCGGTATTGTACAATATTGACTTTGAAAGAAGCGTTGTATCTTGGAAGACAGACGTCCATAATCCCGTTTGCACGTTGTTGAGGGACGAAATCTGTCTTAAGGAGATTTGCCTTAGCATACCTCGTTTCATCTTCTACTTTTATTTTCTATTATTATTCTTAGTTCTTTTGATTGTGGTAGTCGAATTTCCGACAACAACTCACCCGAGAATGCACAAGGACAAGAAGACTCCAAGTTCGTGACGTACAACTACTTAAATTGTGTAATCCACCCCCGCCTCAAAATTATCGAGTTAAAAAAAATCACAAACATTACAAATTTACAAATTACACCCAGTATATAATGTCCAATCACAGTTTGCATACTGTCTTTTTAGAAATTACAGTTTACCTACCAGGACTAACAGTCAACTTTAAAGGAAATTACAAAATTCCTAAAGTGCCCTACTATTTAAATATTACATATTATTAATAGTTATTCTTCCTCTCCTCAATCTATCTTTACTGTCAATTTGGAGAATCTATTTTGATAACCGTGGGTGTTCGGACCAACTTGCGCGTACCTCGACTAATCCCCTGAGACCCTGAAGTTTACAGCTGAATAGTAACCTCAGTGCCTTGAGAGAACTCAAACGGGTGACAATTGGAGAGCAAGCCTAAGGCCTGGTCAATTGAGTAACCCCTCAAAGTTCAATTTGGAGAATCTATAGAAATAAACGAACTGCTCAATCTAACTATACTCCCCAAGCGACTGATTCTAAGTTGTACAAATTGCAGAATCTCAATCAAACTGCTGATGCCTTCAACTTAAAACTTTATTTAAGATACTTCTGTTTGAATAATTAGCAAAATAGTACCTGGATAACGTTCAAATTGCAAAACGAAGTCTCTTAAAACTCGTCAAGGGAAACTATATACTGAGAACTTATACACATGCATATTCTTTCTTCTGTACATTATTAAGAAGCAATAAACACACCTAGGTCTTCATCTGTGTCAAGGCATTTCAGCTAATTGGATACGATACTGATACCTTATATAGAATGTTCAACCAGCATTAACGCATAGAAATTGACCCTGCTGGGAAATATCTCTAGCTGTAATTATGCAAGTGAATGCTAGAATATTAAGCTACAAGAAAGATTCTTGCATAATCAACGAGTTGCCAAGTAAAGTTATGGGAATCATCCTTAGTACAAATTTTGTCTAAATTGCCCAAAATGCTCAAAAGCTATGACAGGTTATATATACTTATATTTGCAATGAGTCTTGAAAAACCTGCAACTGAATTTTTTTACTCTACTTCAACATATGCTGAGAGATAAAGATAATGAATCAGATTTGCATACAAGAAATTTGATTCTAGAAAAAGCTAATAAATTGGGTTTGCATACAAGATTGGCTTCATAGTAAGTAGTCATCGTCTGAGAATAGCCATACTTGTCTAAGAATGTAAGATACCCGAAAAGTTTCCTAAACACAGAATGGAAATTGGAAAGCCAATTTGCCCCTTGATCCACGCATTCATCCCTCCACTGGCAGTCTTTACATTTTTCTTTTCCTTATCTTAAATGAGAACTGGCACCTGGGGGCCGGAACTTGCCACAAAAGTACACAAAAGTTACATTCAAGAAGATATCAAAAGTCTGCATGCTCAAATATACACTTGGGTCTCCCAAATTTTTCAGCCTGGCAAACCAACACAACACACGAATTCTGGACAGATTCCTACCTACCCAACCAATTAAAATCAGAACATTACAAAATTGTAGATATATTCATCAACGACTTCACCCGAGAGTGAAACCAGAAAATCAGGATGACCCAAAAACTCTAAAATTCCATTCATCTTTGAATTTTTCACCGTACCATTACACATGGAGTCGCAAAATAGAATTTATACAATGACAAATTCACATGAACTTCAATCAAATATCGATACACAAGTTTTGCTACCTCGTCATTTCATAATGCAAAAAGGAAATTCACGTGCTAACTGAAAAGGTAAAGTATACCCACTATTGCCATATTCTACAGACTAATACACCTTTTCAAGGCAAAAGTTCAAAACTGTACCTCGCATTAAGATCATCAACAGAGCGAGAAGCAATTCCGACACCACTCCTCTCAGTCTTCCTCTTCTCGTAATCCAAGTCATCTGTAGGCAGCTCATACCTACAAACTGGGCAAGTATTCCCAAGATAAAGATGACAACAAGGCATTCTAATCACCTTCTCCCCAATCAAAACATCGTCCTTACAAATGGTGCAGATATCTGTGTCATTATTTTCCCCCGTATCCTTTTTTTTCAACTCCACCAAAGGTAGATTCTCTACCACAGATTTCGCAGCAGGTGGACTACCCTTCCAAGCATTCTCGTTCTCCACCAATTGCCCAAAAAGGGTACCATATTCCATAGTCAAGATATAGTCTTCTGAGAGATCAAGGTGAGGAACTTCATTCCCATTATTAGGTTCGTCCTGGCTCTCAAAGTCAAAATTCCTGTCCAAATTATTCACTGCCAAGAGCACTTCCCACTCAATATTCCGCTCTCCTCCTCCTCTACCATCACCTAACTGTAGATTTTCACCTTCGGAGGATGAAAAATCTGAGGAAACTGAGATTTCCTCGATTCTATCAATCACAGAATTCAAAATTTCGCTTTCATCAAATTGGATTCTCTCATTTACCTCCTCCCATTCAAACTCTTCCCTTTCATTTTCATTAATGAGATCATTAACCCCAAATCCATCAAAATTATCATCATTATTATCAATAAACCCTGAATTTACCTCGAATTCCTCGGAATCAGACTCCGAATCCATACCAACCACCCTAAGTCCCACTGGAGGGAAAACCTCCGATGCTGACACGAGACCTGGACCAAAACCGAGTTCCATGCCCAGATCCTCCGAGAGACCTGAATCAAAATCCCAAATCGTGTGGTCCGGAAAATGGGCTTCACGAGACTCGAACAGATCGGTAACAAAATTCATCTCCTCCTCATATTCCCCTCCTCCAGAGAAAAAGCAATTCGGGTCCGCCAATGAATCCTCATATTCAGAAACCGAATTTTCGGGTTCTATATTTAAATCAAACCCGAAATTGAAGTTATTGTCGTAATCATCAGGTATCAAGAAAGAGGGGTTCGCGTTATTGGGATGGGATAATGAATCCAAATCGATGACAAATGGACTGTGCGCAAAGATTTCTTCTTCTTCATGGGGCCCAGTGGTAGGGTTGGAAATTGGGATTCTAGTTTGCTGTTGCTGCGGTGGTTGGCGGTGGTTGAAGCGGTGGAGGTTTGATACCTCCGCCATGACAAAAATTGAAGAGAAAGTGAAGCGTAATTTTACTCTGACGTTAAATTTATTTGTTTTGTGTAGGATATTTTCCTTTTATGGTTTTCTTGACGACGTCGTATAACGGAACCGGGTTCGGGGAGCGAGTTTTCTTCAGTCTTTTTTAAGCCATTCTATTCTCCATTTTAATTTATGAGAGCAATATTTTTTTTTTCCTTCAATTTGTTTTGTTTACATTGGAATATTAAGGTATTAATTAAACTAGATATAGATGTAAAAATTGAGCAAGTTTAAGAAGAGTTTGAGATTAAGCCATGTTTGGTTTGGTACTGATTAAAATTTAGATTTTAATTTAAATCAGAGTCAACAATTAATTTCAATCACATATTTTATGGGTTCCACAACTTTTCAACAACACATTTCATCAATTTCCATCAAAATTTACTAAAAATCCGATTTTAATCTCCATCAAACAAGGTCTAAGTAGGGTTGTCTTGTATAATTATTTGAGTTTTATTTTATAACTTACATTAATATAAAAATAATTTAGTGAAAGTTACCCACAAAATATTTACACACAATCACTGACAAGTGGCATTCTTTACAACATATTGCATGGAATTGTTTTCGATTTATCAACAATTGGCCTTTTTGACGATCCGTTTAATGTAATTGTTATCGGTTCATCAACAACTGAATTTTTGACAAACTTTGCATGTAATTGTAGTCATAATCATTGAAAGTTGTATTCTTGACAACATATTGAATGGAATTGTTACCGGTTCATCAACAACTGACATTTTTTTATGATGCATTACATGTAATTTTGTCGGTTCATCAACATATGACGTTCTTGACGACATGTTGCATGTAATTGTTGCCAGCCAGACAATATCTAGTAGCAACAATAGATGCTAACTAAGTACAATGATGACATTTTTAGAAGTTGAGATGAGAATAATACTATTTATTATACCATATAACACATTTTTTCAATGCATTAATTTAAATCTTGTATTAGAACCATACAACATGCACAGAGTTTGCACAAAAAATAATGTATTCGAAGTGTGGAAACATTAAGGATTCTAGGTTCATGTTTGACAAATCACTAAATCGGGATTTTATTACATGGAATGCTGTAGTTTGTGCCTATGCTAATCATGGTCTAGGTAAAGAAGCTTTACTAATTTTTGAGAAAATGCAGCTTCAGAACATGAGACCAAATCATGCAACTTTTGTGGCAGTTCTTCGTGCTTGTGCACATATTTGTCTTGTTGAAAGAAGGTTGTTCTACTTCAACTCAATGCAAACTGACTATGGATTAGATCCACAGTTGGGAGTTGGGACACTACTCATCTATGGTGGATATGCTCAGTAAATCAGGTCAAGTTACAGATGCTCTGACACTTCTTGAAGAAATGCTTTTCCAGGCGGATGATGTAATTTCGAGTTGCTTAGTATTTGCAAGATGCATGGGAATGTCGAGGTGGCAGAAAAAGCAGCAAGTTCTCTTCTGCAATTAGACCCTGAGGTCTCTTCAGCCTATGTTCTTCTATTGAATATTTATGCTGATGTAGAGATGTGGACTCTGGTTTCAAATTTGAGGAAAGTGATGAGGTATAGTAGGCCGAAAAAAGAACCAGGCTGCAACTGGATTGAGATATATCAGATGAAATAAGCATATCTAGGTTCTGAGGAAAGTGATAAAGATATACAAGATGAAGTCAACAAATCCAAGATGTAAAGAGATATACGAAAACCTGGATATGTTAATTTGTGAGATGAGATGAGCCAATTATGCGTCTGATAGCAAGCTTATCCTATGTGATGTAGGGACAGAAGATGGGCAGCAAGAACCACATCCTGCATATGCAGTCTCTTGTTTTTGAAACATCCTAACAAAGTTAAGTCTGAGATTCCTTTTCCAGTATGTTAAGATCCTATTGCTTCTCCCTCCGATAAGGATGAAGTTCGACTGGGATTATCTTGGTCAATTCAGATTATTAGTCATATTATGCTCATTTAAAGTTATGAGCCAAATGGAAGTTAATGATGCTTGGTAGCTTCTGAATAACACTCGATTCATGGCTATTCATATTGCACCCAACCACTTATTTTTGGCATCTTGAAGCAAGTTACCTTTTATCAAGATTTACAGCTGCAGTTTTCCAATTAAGAGGAGAGAAAATAAGCCATTCTAGAGTAAAGACAGTAAGCTACCACAATTAGATCCAGTCTCGAAGCAGTCCTCATTACATGTTGATTTCTTCTCTGATTGGGCTAATATTTTGCTGACACATCCAGACATCATGAACTACAATCTGAAAGTCGTGATTGTGGATTGGACACTCCAAAATCAAGTTTTCTGATGATTTCAGCCAGTGATTTGGTGAGGTGCCAATCTCCCTATGATTTATAGCTAGTATTTGAATGACTATATTTGAGATTGAATTGTATGCCAAGAGTATCATATTGTGTTTTAATGACTCGTAACTATTATTTGCCTCTATTTATACTGTACTCTCCTAGTACTCCTCCATGGTTTTTCCCCGTGTTGGGGTTTCCATGTGAATCTTTTACGTCTTTTTTATTTTCTTGTTGATATTATTTGTTTGGCCTGTTTTAGTACACCAGGGAGGATTTGTTCTTGATGAATGGATTGTGAAGGTGTTGAAAAGGAAAAGAGCAACACGAAAGCCAACCAACACAAAGGGTTAAGATTTGAGGTTCCATCTTAAAATGTCAACTTTGTTAAGAGGGGTAGTTCAAATTCTTATAAATTAATCTATGTTTTCATCTTTATTATATGTTGAATTTTATTCCTTAACATGCCTCCACAAAATGGTTGTTCATTTGAGCAAATCAATCTTGAAATTCGTGTGCTCATTATTTTTTATTAATTTTTTGAGTTTTAATCGAATCGAATCGTTTAATGGGCTCCAATACCATGTTAAGATTTGGAGTTCCATCTTAAAATGTCAATCTTATTAAAAAAAAGTAACACAATTCTTTATAAGTTGATCTATATTTTCATCTTTATTCGATTTGGGATTTTTATCCCTTAACACATAGCAGAAAGAGATTCATGGAGGAATGTTTTTAGAAATTCAGAGGCATTTTCTTGAAAAACTCGGCAGTGGTAAGAACCTATATTTTCATCTTCACAATCTAAAGACTTGAAGATTAAATGCAGAGTTTGATTTAAAAGGTTTTATTAGTTTTACTTCACTAGAATTTTATTATTCTCAGTAGTTATTTGTTAGAAATACCTGTAAATTCTTTTTCTATAAAAGGGAACGCAGGTTTTTCATTTTATTTCCAACATTTTTATTGAATTATCAATCAATTATGATTTTCCTACTACATTGTTCTCTCTATATCTTTCTGTCCCCTCTCTTTCTTACCCTTCTCTATCATTTTCTTTCTCTGCGAGTCGTGGCTCAACACGCACTTATGAACCTTGTGTTTGTCTCTGTGTTTTAGGTCATGTAGGAAACACCATTCTGCCACTCGCATGTACCAAACCCATCTTTGCTTAATTGCTTCTTCTGGTGTTGACTTTTTTCCCCTTGCCTGGATCTTTTAACTTCTGGGGTTGGAGTGAGGAGGTCCCATAAAAACCAAAAAATTCACGGCAAGAGACACTTTCTTCATAATAAACTTAGGGCATTGATATTAAACTATTTGTAAGAACATATAACATATTATCTATCATTACAACAGAGGAGTCACAAGAAATGACAGCCTTTCCATTACAACATAATCACATAGACGAGCACGTAATCACATATCCCACCTTGGTCTCAAGGGTATCTCCGGGCACTTTGCTCCTTCAAAAACAAAGAGTAATGTGTCTATTCAGGCAGGCAGGATGTCTAACCACGATTGAAAATTCCAATGAAATTCTAAAATGTTAAAAATATATAATGAGAATGTGTATCTAGAAACCTACTAACTTGCTATCTCTTCTTCCTCAATCTCCGTATTTACTAGAAATCAATTCTTTGATTGGCCATTTCAAAACAAATAGATAAATAGTAGGACTTACTTTATAGGATATAATACACTACCCTTCACAACAGAAAAATTAAATTCTCCCCTTCTATTCCAGTTTATTCAGCCAGGGGACTAAATTTGATAGTCAGAAATTGTCATTTTCATTTTCTATACTTTCAAGAGCAGACATGCAAATAAAAATTTAGCAAATACATCTAATATGCCTCAAACAATCTATATATCCATCAATCCATATTTATGGTATTTGATGATTCATAATGACCTATTTATTAGGCCACAATCAGGGCTCCAAAGAGAGGTGCACCCATGTCATGCCTAGCAAACATAAAGAATTCCTTCAGATCCATCTAAACTCTGAACTATTTCCTACATATTTAAACATTAAACCTGAATACCGATAACCACGTATATAAACTGAAGCGCCTACCTCGTAACCGGTAGCTGAAGGCTTACTTTTTTTCTCAGTAGTTTGGTTAGTTGAAGTTTCTTTCTCGGACTTATTCTCGGAGAACATAAATTATTTGGCAATTCCCTTGGCATCATTCCTCGGAAACATAGTAGGCATCCTTGTACATTTTTCCAAATGCTTTACTGCAATTTTTTTCTCCTTTTTTAATGATGATATCTGCATACGCATCGCACAGAATTCTTAGTGTTTAATAGATGACTTATGGTGAAGCAATCAAAATTACTATCTTTTAGTAAGAATGCCTCACAATTCATATGACAACGACAAATTTTAAAATACTTTATAAGAAATCAAATCCAAGCACAGAGAGCTCCTTCCGGTTGGGTGAGGGAGGAGGAATTAGGGATGGAGAAAACAAATAGTATATGCAAACCAAATCCTAGGAATTAAAATATAGCCGAAAAACCACAACTTATTCTACAATAAGAAAGAGACGAGGCTTTGCTAAACATTTTTTTAATACATGACATTTCTTGAAATGTTGACAGATAACTTAGGATATGAATTGACTTCAATACAAATGAACTTCAAATTACTAAATGGCCTTCAGTTACAAGATTTGTTATGCAGGATAGTAACCTTAAGAATAAAAGGGAGGAAAAAGAAAGAAAGAAATATGTTACTTAGCACCAAAAGTTTATGAGGAGGATAGTCAAGTAGTAACCAAGCTTATTACTGTCAAAAGTATGAATGATAAAGTGGTAGAGCGACCTTCTTATTAAGGTGGTGTCTTTCATGAGACAAATCCAATACTAAATCTGCTATTAATTTGGTCCGAATGCTTTTACCTTGCATTCTTCGTTTTTTCTCCTCAGCCTGACGAAAAGATGCTTCCAAGCACTCCATTCTACCCCTTTGATAACTTATTACTTCTAAGTTTGCAAGTGTACTCTGGCAATACGGTGCGTTTCTCTTTGGTTCTCTCAGTATGACTTTCAGCTTTTGAAACCTTAGATTGCAGATCTTCAATCAAATTTTCCATATCCTTAATGGTGCTCTCAGAGTTTTGCAATTTAGATTTCAACCCTCCTTCTCTCTGAACGGAACCATCCAAATTAAATTGTATTATCTGGATTCGTCTCAATAGTTCTTTTGAAATTCCCAAAAGAATTTCTGCAGTGTATTCTGCTTCAAACAATCTTTCAAAGGTAACTTCAGATTCTTCCACAATGTAGTGTACTTCTTGTTGCAGCCTGAGTTTTAATTCTTCTTCAGTTTCTCTTGACTCGGTTAGCTTCTTCTCAAGTTCTAATTCTCTAGCCAAAGACCTCTCCAGCATCCTCAAAATATACCTCTGCTGTTCTGCAGTTTGCATTTTAATACTTGTATTCAGATTTAAAAGATGGCCATGTTCAAAACTTGCAACCTCCTCGCCATCTTTCCCTGTCAAGATGCTTAGTTATTATTAAATAACACAGTGAATTATAATTTTGTAATAAGATGAAGATGGAAACTTCAGATTAATGTTCTTGTAGATGCAGGTATAACCAAAATAAAAAATAAATTTTGAGAATTAAGAAATGTTTCAAATACATGAAATTACATTTTTCGTCTCTAGCAGTGGTCAAGATCCTCTGGAAGTTGGCAGATTGCACCTTTATTTCAGATACCTGCTCAAATGATTGCTTCAAGGATTCCTCACAATCTTTCATATTTTCTTCCGTTTCCTTAAAAGCTCCCCCAAGCTGCTCAAATGAAGACATAATCCCATGGAAACTAAGAATCTCTGTCCGAAGGGTGAACAGAAAACTGTCCAGTTCTCCGACCTCAGAGTCCAAAATCCCAGATAAAAGATCAAATTCTAATGCTTTCTCAACACAACCATCCGACGCACATTCTTCCACTATAACAAAAGTCTCGAAATCATGTTCTCTTGCTACCACATGTAAAACAAGTATGTCCAAGTTAACCAACTTCTCAGCAGAACGCGCTAAATCTAGTTCAACCCTTGTTAAAATTCTGGTTGCACTTTCTACTTCTCGAGTAATGTCTCCACCTGCCTCCATTTCACCAGCACTAAAATGTTCATTAGAAGCTGATCCATATGTAATGGTATCAGCATCCATTTCAAGTCTTGTACTAGAAAATATTGAAATTCTATTCCATCGTTCCCAACCAAAAACACTCAGAAAATAGAAAATTATTTTAATCGACCATTCTTCTCTTCATCAAAACTGAAAACCAGTTTCAATAAATCCTGCTTCTCACACCAGGAAAAGATGACCTGTTATTATACATGTTTGTGTCAGAGCCACATCAAGAGAGAAATAAATCATATAAAAAATGATAATCGAAAAACCAATTGATTCGAATTTATCTATAAACATGAATTAATCGAATAAAATATGTACAGCCAGCCATAGTTTTCAATTAGCTATATCTTTTTTTTGTCCGCCTAAAATTTCTTCATCTTCTTCTGTAGCATCACAGCCCGAAAAGATTTCCACACTCCTGTCAAACCCAATTCATCTCAATTCTCATAATATCAGAAGTTCAAAATCTCAAATGTCAATAACGTAAAGCCTATTAGAGCATCAGAATCTATTAACATCGATATACATTATCACATAAGTTTAAAATAGATCAAATAATCTAAAGACGATAACAGAAGAACGAATTTCCATATACCATAAAACGTTCAAAAAAAAAATTATATCAGAATCACGAACTTAAAAAGGTCAATTTTCCAGATTTGAAGAAAAGAATTTGCGAATTAAAATAATCTAACAATCGAAAATGTTGGAATAAAATCATACCCGTTAAAATTTCGCGGGTTCAAGAGTGCGAATTATTTTTTGTTTTTTCATATGTTTGATTAGATTCATAATTATATTTTTTTCTCATGAATAAATTTACTTCCCAAACTTCTAAGTTCTAACAGACAATAACGAACCTGGTGAGTGACTCGCTGACTCAGCGATCTTCTACTGTGTGCCATGCACGTGATTTTTCGTTGAACTTGTGTTAACTGGACTGGGCTTAGGTTGTGTCAACCATTAAGGCTGAAAGCCAATTTCCCAGTCCAGTTTCTCAGGCGATCCGTTTTGGGCCCTAGCGAAAAATAAAGGGAAAAATTCATAAATGAGGTGTTTAGTTTACACCAATTCAAAAATCATGTTTATAGTTTGAAAATTCAAAAATCAAGTTTTTTTTTCCTAATATAATATAATATAATAGACCCACCCCACATGCACCACTCCTACTGTTCTGGGGACTATTCCGGCGATCATTCCGACCACCACTCTTCTTCGGCGACCACTTGTCTTCGGCGACCATTCCGGCAACTGCTCCGATTCCGACGACCATTCCGACAGTCATTCCGGTCACATATTTATAATTTAATTAGTCACATATTATTTTCAGTCACAAATAATAATTTTTATACGTCACAGATTATTTTATGGTCACAGTTCAAATTTTTTTAGGTCACAATTAGTTCGTTGGTCACAGATTTCAAAATTAGTTGGTCGCAGATCAAAATTTATAGGTCACACAGTCACAAATTTCCAAATTAGTTGGTCACAGATTTTTTTTTTATGTCACAGATTACCGGATGGTTGGTTACGGATTTTTTTTAAGGTCACAGATTACTGGATGGTTGGTCATAGATTTTTTTTTTAGGTCACACACACCAAATATTGGGTCGCATACACCAAAAATATTGGGTCACATACTACCCTCACTGTGCGACCGTCGCCAGCACCGCAACACTACTACCACAGTCACCAGCACCGTAGTCAACCTCCACTGCCACTGTTACAATCGACCGCCACTACCACATCCCAAGCAGATTCACTACCATCACCGGCATCTCACCACTACAGCACCTAATCACCACTACCGACGACATGAAAACCACCGCAAGCAGATTTGACCAACAACGAACCGTGGTACCAATCACCGAATCGACGGAAATTTCAGATCACCGAACCCACCACACACCGAACCCAAACCCACCATTTCAGATCCTCTTCATTACAGCGGTGGCGACTATACACAAACAACCATCTCCAAGCCCACCATCTCCGAGCCCACCATCACCACCGCAACACCTAATCACCGTCGATCTGAGCGACCAACACTGCGTCGCATACAAAAAATTTCACAGCGACCAATACACAAAACTCATTGTGAATCGCACAGCTCGCTTTGCGGCAGTGTCATCACTACAGTGATGGTAACACTACTGCACCAGAGATTCGTTCCAGTGGCGGTGCCGTTTCTGTTGAGATAGAAGAGAGACATTGAGAAGATAAGATCGGTGAGAAGAGTCATCACCGCTGTCGGAGATTCTCTTTCAGGGGCGGCGCCGCTACTGTTGAGAGAGAAGAGCGAAGGTGGGAAGAGTAGAAGAGAAATCGGTGCATTGAAGATCGTCGTTGCAGATCGCCAGACCGCCGCCGACGCATCTCCATCTTAGGTGGAGAGAGAGACGAGAGGTTTAGAGAGAGGGTTTGGAAGAGAGAGAGAAAGGATTTGGAAGTCGGTATTGAGGAAACTGATTTAGGGTTAATTATAATACCTGATTTTTGCTTAATTAAAGTTTGTACCTGATTTTTGCAAAGTGATCTTTAAATACCTGCTATTTTGTAATTTCCTCAAAAATAAATAAGGGAAGATTACCTATTCAAGAGAATAAGTTTAGCCTATTTCATAAATAAGAAAACAAATTTGAAATTTCCAAAATTAGATTTTTATTAAAAAATTAAGTTTTTATTTACGAAATAAATTAATTTATTATTAAATATTTAATTCTAATATAATATAATTAACCCATCCCACCTTCACAACCCCTACAGTTCCCGCGACCGTTCCGATCACCGCCCTACTCCGGCGAACTTTCCGACGACCGTTCCAGCGTCGATTTTTTCAGGCAACTGCTTCGATTCGGCGGTTGTTCCACCTCCGGCGAATATTCAGGCGACAACTCCGCTATATTTTTTTGTACAATTGACATGTTGTTTTTACGGTCACATTCCAGGTCACAAGTCACAGCTCAGGTCACAAGTCAAGAGTCACAGCCCATGTCACAAGTTACAAATCAAGTCACAGGCCAGGTCACAAGTCACAAATCAAGAATTTTTTACTCACAAATTAATTTAGGCAGTCAAATATTATTTCACCGCCACGACACGGTTGTTAAACACCACCGTACGCCTCCGCCTCCACCTCACCACCAGAAATCTTCGTTCCTACCACACACCTCCACTGCCACCAGTCATCACCATTGCCGCCACAACACCGCTCAACTCCACTTCCAACTCCACTACCACTACCACCCACCACTGCCAAAACAACACGGATCGCCCACCTCCACCACCCACAATCTCACAAACAACCATAACCACCACCCGTCACTATCGCCACCACCGCCAAAATAACACAAATCACACACACAACACACAGATCGGCATACACAACAAATTGTCCATCTCCACCACACGCAACAACACAAAAACCAGCACACCCACAACAAATCAGCACACACCCGTAATAGATCCACAACTGCGCCTCCGCTGGCATAGAGTCAGGCCTCAACGCTACCGTACACCACCACCTCACCAACAAAAATCATTACAAAATCATGATGCAGAGAAGGAGGGTGTGGGTCGACGGTCCTACCGATTACGTGTGGCGGTCATGAACGTTGCACCACCGGGCAAAGCTGCTGTGAGCTCAAATCTGCATCGGCGTTGGTGGGGGTTCCGGTGGGAAGGTGGGTACGACGCCGGTGGGAAGGTAGATCGAGGAGAGAGAGGGAGATGGAGAGAAGTGAGTGATTAGGGTTTGGAAATTAAAATGATTATTATATAATTAATATTTAATCTATAAATATAAAGTATCTGATTTTTGAAAAGTGAAACTCGTGATATGATTTTCGAAAATGGATATTGAAACGAAGGGTTTTGTATAATTTCCACAATAAATAATTTTATAGTTCATTTTTAAACTAAGAATAAGATAATTATATCATTTTTGACTTACTCTAAAAATGTTTTTTTTTTTAAATAAAAAAAGAAGAAAATTTTCACTTTTCACCCTCAACCTTTACAAATTATTAATAATTTACTCCATTTTTTTAGAATTAGACATCTTCAACATTTTACTTAATTACAAATGTTAATTGAGGTTTTGAATAAGATGGCCTTTTGATTTTTCATTTCTTTCGTAGGTGGGTTTTGTCGCTGCCTGATAGAGGCAGAAGAGGCAATCATTGAAAATACTCCCATGAATATGATCAAAATTCGAAAGTTCATAAATCAAATTATTTCGTGGACTGGATCTCATCAAGCACGACTACTAAAAAAATTCGATTAATCATTGTTTGGGTTCGTGCAAGACAATATTACAAAATTTCATATATATAATCAAATGATTGTTCCAGAAAAACAAACTCAACAACTTTAAGAACAAAAGTCGTTAAGGAAATCCACTAGAAAAAAGAGAAAGACAATTTCGAATGACTTTATAGTCTTTCTCCAAAAAAATAAAGATGACACTGGATTGATGGAAGTAGATCTGATCAATCAACTTTCATCAAACTATACAAATGAATAATTTTCAAAATTGGACTAATCTTATGTATAAAGAGATAAAGTTCATCAGTAATAATGACGTTTGTAAACTTATTCCATTGTTTGAAGGTGTGAAACCTATTGGTTGTAAATGGTATTTAAAAGTAAGAGGGATTCGAAGGGTGATGTGAAGAGATATAGGGTTCGTCTTGTTGCAAATGACTTCACTCAAAAGGAATACATTAACATTGAAGAGTCTTCCTCTCCAATTTTTATGAAAGACTCTTTTAGACCTATTATGGCATTTGTGACACAGTTTATTTTAAGTTACGTAAGATGGTTTACAAATTAAGGAAATTAATCTATGAGTGTAAGTAGGCTTCCCATTAATGGTATCACAAATTTCATCAAATAATTATCTCGTTAGATTTTTGGGTAAATATAGTTGATGATTGTGTATACCACAAATAGGAGTGGGCAAAACCCAAACCAAACCAACCAACCCGACCCAACCCAACCCAACCCATACCGACCGATTTGGGTCAGTTTTT